TTACATTTCAAAAATTCCAGCATAGTATTGCTACAGATCAAACAACAGAGGTGTGGCCTTTTCCCAAACCAAGGATGGAAGAGTGTTAAGGACAGCAGTTCTTGAATTTGAGGAAAAGCAGAAATCACTAGAGCAATAGAATTTACTTGGAAATAACTAAGCTCTATCGCTCATAGAGAAAGACGTCTTCAGATAGTTCACCCAGCTACTATAAGAAAAACATGTTAGATTTTTCACATAGGCATTTGTGGTTGGGAAAATTCAGTGAAAGAATCAAAAGAGGTTACTGAAGAAAACTTGCCAGTGCTAGAACTTGGCATTAGTCTATCCCATCACTAGTCTCAAAGGTTCATGCTCTCTGGGGTTTATTATTTCTCCTGTGCTTTTCTATCTAGCCCCTCCCTTATTTCCTAATAACTTTCCCCTGCTAAAGAAAGCACATGTAGATGGTTGTCATATATTTTGTTTATCAGTTGTCTCCAGTACTTAGAATGGCTCCTGGTTTATGTTTATGTTCCATAAATTAACATAAAATAATTTTTTTAAAGAAACTAAGTGGCTAAAGCTCAGATGAGAAACTAATGTTTTGAGAGAAATACCAAATGGAGGCAAGATGTTACTTTGAGTCTCTCCTCGTTAATGGATTCTAGCTAATTTTTGTGGATACCTCCTAAGTGGAGTTACTAAGACCCAGCTTGAAAATTTTGAGAATCACTATTTAGCCATCAAAAGATTTTACCCTTAGCATTGTATTTTAAATGTTATAATTTTTCATTTTACCTTTTGAACATCCCTCTCGTTCCCAATATCTCTGGCTTTAGCATCAGTAAGAAGATTAAGGGAAAAGAGTCAGGGATGTATACTAAAGAGTCAGGGATATATACTTAGGCAAAAAAGAAGAAGAAGGAGAAAAAGAGGGGGAGGAAGTGGTGGAGGAGGAGGAGGAAAGTTTTCAAATTAATTTCAGGTAACAGTTTATTATTTCAAACAAACATTGTTATTTGCTGCCCCTTACTGGTAAGATAGTAAAATTGCTAAATCTCATTTTTACAGTGTAGTTCTTAGCTCTGACATTCTGTAGCTCATTTGCCACCAAAAGACTTGTACAAGTTGATCATCTCGATTAAATGAATACCATAGGGGAGGAGTCACTTAGTAAAGACAATTTTCTAGCCTTTAATTTGGGTAACTATAGAAAAATATTACATAAGAAAAATACTAAAATAAGCCATATATATATATATATTATA